ATAACATTCAACTGCTCAGGTTACCCTAAATGAAAAACTACTTTGCGATAATACAAGGGGCACCCTTAAATCTATAGGAAACAAATAATACTTTTCTAAGGGATATGACTTCATACAAACTCTGCAGCGATGCTCTATACCTTCAGTTTAAATCATCAAATGCACCAGAGAATACTAACTAATTTTGATTTCTGTAAGAGGCAGTATCCAACTTTTCAAGAACAGTTGAAAAACAAAAGTAGAGATAGCATATTATTGATAGATCTTCTGATTCCAGATAAAATTTTGATTCATCTATATGCAGAGAATTCAACTTTTTATAGATAATGTCTAGTTTCTTTTTGATTTATTTCCTTTAGAATTCTGTCATTCATTATTAGTGAATGAATCCCATGATAAAAATTCATCGGATACTGTAACATTTATATCTAAGCGAAATTTAGTTTAAAATAATAAGCTGAAAATGAAATTTCCGCATTCTTTTGGAAATGTATTATTGCCCTTTGGTCGCTGCCCATTACACATTGCATTCGAGTTTTAATCATTTACCGGTATAAATATTGCTGAAAAAAATATTCGACAGTTCCTTAATTTCATTAGTTTTCAGATCCGCAACCTTAGTCTCTAGCGTCTACAAGTGGTTAAGTGGCTAAGCCTTATAATTGAATAGAGGTCTAGATTACAGATTCTTGCGAATGGTCTGGCTGCATCGAAACATTCGAGGTTTTGCTATGTAAAACGCAATTCGAAGACAGTTTTCTTTTGAATGTTCTCTACGAAGGCATTTTTTTCTTTGTTTTCTTTTTTCGGGGGGGGGCGGAAAACTAACGCTGGTACACTTTGCCTTTATTAAATCAATCTTCCTAAATCCGCAGTAGTTTCTGAAATGTTTTAAATAACTACAATAAACTTATTTGCTCTTTATTAACTAAACCACCAATTAATCAGCAAGTTGAAAAAAACATGTTGTTGTTATTGTTGCTTATCCTAGAAAGATCTGACATATGTCAGATCAACTCCAGAAGGTGGTTGGCCGCCAAAAGTCAATAACAATGAGGGGATCGTATGTTAAGTCTCCCTTAGAAAGTCTGATGCAACCCGGTATGTGATCCGTTGAAGCTGGATGGTCACAACATTTTTTGCAAGCGAGGTGGATTTTTCTGCCACTATAAAAGGAAAGACATTTAAGGTGGCCACTAGCCCGAGCAGTCTTGGGCTACGGTCACATTTTGATTTCCAGCAGGAAGCCAGGGGATGTTTCTGTGTACCATTGGTGTGTAGGTGGAATACACCATATTATACTGAGTTTAGATCTTTCATTTGAGTAAAGTGCTATAGTTCATAGAGTAAGTGAGTTCTTGGTAAGTGAGCGAAGAGCCAGTGACCATTTCATTTTCACCACCCTCTTTTGAAAGTCTATCAGCGAGCTCATTACCACTAATATTAACATGTGATGGGATCCACTGGAGGTGGACGGCGTGAGTCTGACAGATCTTCCTCAGTTACAGCAGAATAGACATGCTGGTTTCATCATTTGCGGACGACCAGACACCAAGATGTTGTAGTGTAGATGTAAAACATCTTAACTGCTTTTGTGTTTCTATCCAAAAGGATGTTTGGAATAAAATTGTTTATTTATAAATGTAAAACGAATAAAAAACAGAAAGCATTAAAATATAAATTTTAGAATTCATATAAACGGTTCTATTACACTAAAATTTCAGAAAGAAAGAGACTAAATTTAGACTAGTTTAATGCATAATAGCTCTAAAACTCTAAATGCCACTCCAATCGGTATAGTGGTTAGCAACGATAACAGCCGTATGGTTTGACCTGGGTTCGAATTCCAGGGAAATTTGTAAATGTATAATGTCTTGCGGTATGGAGGCACTTCAAAATACATGGCGAGCCGGTCCTTTCGAGTCGGTTGATGGTAGTGGGAAATAGAGAGGTGGCCTTATGCTTCAAAATTGAGACGGAATTATGTAAAGTCGTAAGGTTACAAGTAACCCTACGACTGGTAATTTATTATGACTATTCCTATGCTAATTCGATTAGTTGTTGGCTTAATCATTTTACAAGTAAGCCAACGACAAACCGAATCCCGCGCTCCTCGCCATGATAAAAATTCGTGGACTTTTTCTTATGTTACTATTAAAAAAATGAGATAAGTCAGAACAATAACAAATGTTTCCAGATAGTGCCGGTGAGAAATGTTTCGAAGGTTTCATTTCAATCTTGAGTTGAAGGAATCGATAAGAGAACACATTAAATTTTTTTAGCCCCATCAAAAATATCAAATTTTCATAAGATCAGCAATGGAAAAATAAGCACACAGAAAGGAAAAAAAAACTTGCAGTTTTCGAATGATCATTTTAAAAAGAAGTGTTCGAGTCCCAAAAGAAGAAATATTAGAAACAGATAAAGGTATCATCTATTAATATTTTATTTTGTGTTTAATTAATGCTCAAACTTTAAGATACTCTCTCACTTGTTATCTTCTAAATATCATTACACATTTCGGGATCAACCAAATTAAGCTAACATAAAATGCGACAATTATTGATTTAAGAAGTTTATAAGATGATTTTGACAAGATTATTACGTACTTTGCCTAGTTGTTATATAAAATGAACCAGCTATAATACGAGGACAAATTGTCAATAGTCATGAGAATGATTCTGGGAGAGTATTGTCGGCATTTTATTAAGAATTTAGTAAGAATGAAGCTAATCTCATGTTGGTTACATTTTGAGAGAGTTAAACTAGTAAATTATATTTTCAGGGAAAAAGTCAGAGAAGCTTCAGATCGTGCCCAGATAATGATTGCTAAGAGCAGTGTTAATTTTCGTTAACAATAGTAACATCGTGTTTGTGATTTTGGCACGCAGGAGGAAATTATCTACTAGCAAGCCACAGATGTTATTAGAATGAATCAAGTAGCTTAGTGAATCTTTTTAATGTTATAAAATGCTTAAAAATCAAGAAACCCACTGTTATGAATTGCGTTTTTTTATCTCTTTCATGAAAGATGAAAATGCCAGAACTTAATCATCAGTTTTGTAGTGTGTATAAAGAACTTAATCATCAGTTTTGTAATGTGTATAAAGAACTTAATCATCAGTTTTGTAATGTGTATAAATAACTTAATCACCAGTTTAATCATCAGTTTTGTAATGTGTATAAAGAACCTAAGCATGAACAAGTTTCAACCAAAGAATGCCGACATAATTCCTGAGTCATGATATAACTTTTTTTATTCTCATTGTAATGACTGAACAAAAAAAAAGGGAATTTTCATAAAGGCAAATCAAATTTCAACTCATTAAACGCGAAGTTTGATATTTGAAAGAAATAATAGGCATCTGAAAAGCATGACGTTTTAAAATAATGATTTACCGAAAAAAAAACGAAGTCTAAAACTTTAATCGTAGATATTGAATGGAATTCTGGTGTTTATAAAACAAATATTTTTAAATGACTTCAAGCAGAGTAATCAGTAGGAAAATCTTCATATATTGCACGATTAAAATTGCAAATGAAATGATAAATTGAAAGGAGGCTATAGAATAAGTAATAATTAAATATATGGTATATTACGCTCAAATAAGACAAAGAAATCCATACAGAAGGAAAAAAGAAAAGAAATCGAAAGAAATAAACTCTACGTCGAATGCAACTTTATTGTAAATTTCAGAAAATAATTATAAATTAATTTGTAAATATAATTCTGGAAAAATTCAGAAGTGCTTTATTAAATAGTAAAATAATGAATTAGAATAAGAGAATAAAATATTTTTTGAAATGAAAGTAATAAGAAAGATCATGCACTGATGAGATAAAAAAACAAAGACTGAAATGGAGAAATATATTTCATATTTAAAACTCGGATAAATGCCTAGAATCTCCATTCGGGAAAAAATCTTAAAGCACTAAATTGAATAAATAATGGAAAATACATTAGGGAAGACAATAAAAATATAAAATTGAAAAACGTATTTTGATATTGCTAAGCATATTAACACGTACAGAAGCCAAGGCCGGAATTATGAAAATCAATCAATTAATAATAAATTAAAGTACAGAATTTTAGGAGAAGAATATCATTAACATAAGTTTGAGGGAACCCGTAAAAAGAAAAATCTAACATTTTTGTATGAGCTTTGAAGAGCAAAAATAAAATATTCTTCATGGTATAATTAGTTTAAAATGAAAAAAAAAATAGTTGGAAGAAGGGGAAAAAAGAATTCATTTCTGTATGTGCAAAACTGAAGAAGATATTCGCGAACGAATTTATTGACTTAATTTATTGACTTAATTATCATATTTCCATGCTTAGTATAGGGGTCTTCAACCCGTGACCCGTGGGCCACAAGTGGTCCGCTGAAGGCATTTTAGTGGCCCCGAATTTGAATTTGACGAAAAATTGAAGAATTTTAAGAAATTTTGATTACAAGAAAAATTGCCTTGTCAGCATTGTGTCGTAAAATTTTTTCTCTTATTCTTCATATTTAAAACATTTTATTGACATGCCTGATATTATTATTTGAGATAAAAGTTTCTGAAAATGACGAATTTTAGGCAGCTTGCCTTATTTGCAATGACAGAGTAGCTGTTATGAAAGAATACAACATTAAAAGACATTATAATACTGAGCAGGATGAGAAATATTCTGCATTGAAAGGTCATTTTTGAAATGATAAGGTGAATGAATTAAAATAAAAAAAAATGTTTAGCAGTTTTTCTTCACCACAGCGAATAAAGAATCTGAAAATAGTGTTCGCGTTAGTTACAGAAAAATTGCTACGCGTAGAAAACCATTTGCTTAGGGAAAATTTGCAAAAGAATGTTTTCAGAGTGCAGTTGATATGCACACATAACAAGGCTCACAGGCTCAAGTTATATCGAATATTAGCTTGTCTAGTGTGACAGCAGCGAGACGCATAGATGATCTGCATTAAAATCCAAATGCAAAACAAATTGAGTTTTATTCTGTAGCGATGGGTGAATCTACAGATGCGATAGATACTGCACAAGTAGCCATTTTTATTCGTGGCGTTGATAGAGACTTCACAAATGTAGATGAATTAGCCAGTGTCGTTCAACTTAAAGGTACAACACGAGGAACAGATTTGTATTCGAGTTTGACACAAACATTGGATAAATGTAATGTTGACTCCAGTAATATATCTGCTATAACGGGTGGTGCTAAATCTATGACTGGTGAGAAAATAGGAGTTACAACATTACTCAAATCTGATGTGAAGACAAGTGAAAATTATACTAAGATGACTTTCTACTGCATCATCCACCAAGAAAATTTGTGCAAGAAATCCTTCTCAAACTTTGAACATGTGATGAATGTTGTTGGAAGCGTGGTTAATTTCATTGAGTATAAATGACTTAATCGCAGGCAATTTCAACAGTTCAGTGATTCGAAAGCTGAATATGGTGATGCTGTGTATTACGCGGAAGTACGTTGTTTGAGACTAGGAAAAATGCTTTAGCACCTGTTTTTTTTTTTTTTTTTTTCTTTTTTTAAGAACGAAGTTCAACAAATTAAATTTAAAGGGAATCTAAAGGAATCTAAAAGGGAATCTGTTCACGAGTTCAGTGTTGAGAAATGGTTGAGAGACTGTGCATTTCTTGTCGATATTACAGGTCATCTCAAGGATTTGAACTACTGGGAAAAGATCTACTTGTTCATAATCTTTATTACTTTGTGAAAGCTTTTGAGACAAAAGTAATCCTGTGAGAAAGTCAGTTGCTAAATAAGAATTCCACTCACTTTCCAAAATTGATGGAGTGTGTGAAGAACTCTACAACATGGAATTCAAATAATTATGTACAATGCATTTCAAATTTGAAAGAGGAATTCAAAAGCAGATTTTCCGACTTTCATCTTTCCAATCCGTAAAAATGAAATTTTTATTAGAATGTTCTCCTCGATATTTTCAGTAGACATTGGAAGTGTTCCAACTGAACTTCAATTAGAATTTATAGATTGTGTGACTGCAGTAAAATGCAAATTTCTTGAAAACCTTACTTGTAGTCTTGCAAAACAAAGCTCCTTTTTTTTATAAATTTTCTAATTACAATATTTTTTGACAGACATGTGGCCCACGGATCTTTGTGAATTTATTGATGTGGCTCTCCGGCGTGAAAGGTTGAAGACCCCTACCTTAGCACATCATTTAACATCCCAAAGAGGGGCTATATTCTGTGTCAATAAAACAGTATCTAATGTCACTGCAAAACAACGATGTGTAAGAACTTTTGCCTTCAATAATATAACAGTCTGTAGCTGAATAAAGTGTAAGTTAATCGATTCAACTTAACCTGGCTTTCAGCAAAACATTTTTGTATTATCCAGGCAAAAGGGCAGTGTTAAATTAGCTTAAGCATTTAACTTAACGCTTTTATTACATCTACATATCTTGGAACAGTTTATATCTTGAGTGCCATATTTACTCTTGTTTAGGAGCAATCATATCTTGATCGTTTGGATTGTTTTATGTGATGACTGCAAAGCCTCGAGGGCTATCTGCTTAAAGGGAAGGATGCCTTGATGGAGGACTTTCTAAGGAAAACTGGCTCGTATATACGTTATACATGGCGAAAACCACGAAAAAGCCATTGTGCAGGCAGTCAATTCGCAGGATTCGAACCGAACTACCAGTGTTCAGCGACTTTACTGCTGGGCTACTAGTGAGCATTACATCTTGATGATTTTGAAGAGTTTTTTAAATAATTTATAAAAGAAAAGTTTGTTTTGTTTCTTAAAAGTATTTTAAAATTTTAAATTTCGTACTAATATGTTCTTTCATTTTAATTTAAACAATTCTTTGTTTAGTTTTACAATTCATTCAGATATAATTCAGAAACATGATTCTACTGATCATTATTTCGGTTGTTCTTTGTCAAAGACCACAAAAGCACAAACATATTCTCCTGTTCTGACGGTGCAGTATTATTTCAGCAGGCAACATACGTATTCAACGTATCAATCAGTAAGAGATGTGCGAAGTTCTGTAATGGAGACTGTATGTATACAGTTTACATAACGAAACATGTGATTCTTTCTCTAATAAGTGTTCCAAGATGCAAAACCACACGTAGTGAATATCTATATATTTCGATTCATTAAAATGTGACACCATGTGAGTGAAATTAAAAATATACGAGTAAATTGTTTTACGATGTTATGTGCATCATAATACTTTTCCTATATCATTCCGAATTTAGAATATTTTGTTGCAAATTGTGCGATTCACATAACTGCCACAAAGCACACGACAGCTTTACTGTTCCTTTTTTCTTCTTGGATTATCATAATGAACTTGCTTTTCTTTTCACCATCGATGGAACAGCTGGCTCCTATCAAAAGTCTGATTATCAAAAGTCTATTAACAGTCTAACTAAGCCTTTTGATAGGAGATAAGAAATGAAAGTTTCCTTTGCAATAACAGCAAATGAGTTTAAAAAAGACCTTGTATTAAAAACTCTGCTTACATGTTTTGCAGAATTCTAGAATTAAAAAATGCAATTATTTCCAGGTTTAGAGAATATATTTGAGACCTTAGTGAGAATTTTGCGAAGTGTTTACTTAGTACAAGCTCTCCGCCCCCCCCGTGGTCGACGTAGAGTACTCCGCGAAGCTATTGACTAGGATCTATACCTAGGCAGTCTCGGCCACGGGGGTATAATATTTTTTAACTTGGCGGTTCCCGATGATCGTGGGGTGAGGCTCATCTCCACCTTAGACGGGTCAGGTGACGTAAGTACCCGGTAACTAGGGTATCAGGAGCCCAATAGCGCCTGTTCCATCGAACGTCCGGTCACCGCTGTCCTCAGTATTCTGTGTAAAGCCTGAAGGAAGAGGCTGTCCATGTAGAACCGGCAGATAGCATCAATCAATGAGTTAGTTAAAGCTCCAAGTCATCATGCCCACCCCACCGTGGTCTTTATTCACTGAGACGGTGGTCTTACCCGGTTAGTTCAGTAATCGGTGGGTTTCTCAAAGGGAGCTTAAATTTGTCGGTGTCTCGGAGATGTGGGACCCTGGGCCCAACAGGAGTGTCTATCGTCATCTTCGGGTGACTGCCTGGCTTGCCAGTCCCTGTAATGCTATTTTGTTATCACAGATAGATATAAATATAGTTAGTTAATTAGTACAAACTGATCTCAGCAATTTTTATCAAATCATTGCGAAAATCAAGACGTTAACTATACGTTTAGTATAAGGCAGTAACTTAAGCGTAATTTCAAGTAAATTTAAAGCAAATATTTCTATCATATTAATTGCTAAGTTCAGCCTTCTCACAAAAAGATAAGTTTCGCGCTAATTGTAATTTTATATTTGATTGTTTAGCATCTGCCCAAATAATTACGAATATTACGTTTGATTGTTTTGTATACTACAGTTATGTTTTTCATACATTACACTGATTGATTATTTTATTTAATATGCATAATAGGTTTTGTACAGTAAATTATTATGGTAATATTTAGTATAGTTCTATTAGATCAACGAAGCTAGGTAAAATACTTAAAATGGACCTACAGTTAATGAGAAAACTAAATTTAGTCTCATAAAGGACCAATGAAAAAAAAAATGTCTTGCATTTCCAATCCTTATTATTAAAAGGAATCCAGTTTTATGAATAACAGTAATTAATAATTTCTAGGTCATTAATTTGATCTTTTCTCAACAGGGCGTAATTTAACATGTAGGACTAAATTAATAGTTGTGATACAGCAATTTCTAAGTGATCGATCACGTTCATCTTTTTATACGTAACGTGTTAATTTTCATTTCTTGTCCACGAAGCCGGTAAAATGTAAAAAATTAATATTGTAGTGGCACTAACTCAGTTTATTTCTTCTTCAGTCATATCGCAAACTATCTTGTTGATTTCATAGCTGAGTACATGTACTGCGTGATTTTTCATCTACATTTCATAAATTTTCGATAATTAAATATATGCTAAGAAGTTTTAATAACTTTAGAAACAAATCAGGAATGCATTGAACTAGAAAGCTAATTGAAAGTTATTCAAGTGAAGTTGGATGTCTGTCGAAAACTAAACTGGCAGTTAGTGCTATAGTTATTGATAATTATGAAATGGTCGGCTGACTTTCGTAATTCCGTTTTTTTTTTTTTTTTTTTTTTTTTTACTTTCCTAAGTGGCTTTCAGACCTTTTTTTTTTTTTTTTTTTTTTTTTATGTATAGAAGTGAATAGCCGCACAAAAAAATCACGAAGCCAGATTGCATTGAGTGTATAATTTAACAGGCTTTTAGTGCTTTAGAGAGTACCAGACAAAACTTTTGTTTTCAGGTTTTTACAATTTTTTTCCGGCTTGGCATAAACCAACTATTTTCCATATATTAAAATATTAATAACTTGCATCAGAAAATTAAATACAAGATAAATGTTCTTCCGTATTTTTATTTTCTTTTTGCTATAAAATTTGCTCTTTGTGTTTGCATTTACCTTAATTGAAGTTCATTAATGTAATTTCATTAATATATATATATATATATATATACTTCTACTTCAGTATCTTTTCTAACAGATTCCAAAAGCTTTGAATAGGATAAGTCCAATATGCAAACAGATAATTCATGTCACCGAAAAAAACATTCTCTAATACGACACCCTCCCCCCCCCCCCCCAAGAAAAAACTAAAATGATCTCTGAGGTAGTCATTTTAAAGAGGTTTAAATGGGATTTAAAAAATGCCTAAATTTGTTCTATTTTACATAGGAACAAGAGCTGAATAATTCGCAAATCACCAACTTTGTTATAAACGGAAACTCTGCCCTGAAAGAGAAGTAAAAGATTTTATTATATTTTATCATAAGCCCACAATTTAATAATTTGCTTCATAATTAAAAAAATTAATAATTTGCTTTATAATTCATTTTTATAAAATATCATTACAATAAAAGGTTATTTTATGACAAAATGATTTTTTCCAATCACTTAAAGACTAATTGCCTGCCGTACATCCGCATAAAAACGCGTAACTATTTTATTTTCGCGGGAGGGGGGGGGGGAAGAAGAGCCCGGGTTCGAATTCTGGAGAAGGCGGAGTTGCAACTGTCCGTCCCTTCATAGGGGGCAAAGGTGGCCGCCTATTAGGTGCCTCCACAATAAAACGACCATCACTTCTGAAATTTAGGAGTAGCTTATTCTGAATAGGCGTGCCAGCCATTAGATAATATATATATATATATATCTATATATATAAACATCTTCTATATATATATATATATATATATATATAAAATCTTCTACAAATAACTCTACATAATATGTCAATATATTATTGCAGTAGTGCATATAATATATCAATACATTATTGCAGTAATATCAAATGATTCCATCTCCTTTTTTC